GTGAGCGAGTGACTGCACGTTGACCTATTGAACTTTCCAGTTCAACTAATGCATCCTGTACTAAGGGGCCGTCCATAAATGACGTCACGCACCTAGGGGGGGGGGGTCAGACATTTGTGACGATGTGTGACGAGGGGTGGGGGTGTGAGAAATGTGACGTCACATCAAAATGCGCAACTTTAACTAAATATGGACAACACGTTTTACTTAATTAAATAGACTGGGTGTTGACGTTCATGGTATGAATGCGTTCGTGTAAGTTGTCGATTTGATGTGTAAACATCGCCACTAGGGAGACAAAGGCGGTCGGGCGTGGTGCTGGCCACCCACCCCCTCGTGTGCCGTGCCGGCCTTCATAGGCGCTCGCTAACAGCACTTGCCCCAACAGTCTGCTCAGGCTACACGGGGGATCTTTGCATTTATATTTATTATAACATGTGTACATGTGCCGGTGCGTGTTTGCTATGCGCACTTGGTGTGTCAATGGAGATGCCCCTCCCCAATTTGAAGAGATTTGCCACCATAAATATTCGTGTTGGGCGCGAGTTGGAAGCGAACTCGGGTGGCCGGGTTCTCGGGGTTTTATTCGTTTCGGGGGTTGGGTTCCGTGTAGCCTCCACTAGAGGGAGGTCTCGACAGCCCCTCGAGGTAGAGAGTCTTTGGCCTTCTCTTCCACACTGGCCAAACGTCTTGTACAGAGGGCCTTGTTAATTGGTAATTGGTTTTTTACCCTTCTATCTGGCAACAAAACTGACACCTTTGCATTATGACTGCAGGTATTTGTGGTCTATGCAAACATGACTCCTTGTAAAAAAAGGTGTCAGTTTTGTTGCCAGATAGAAGGGTAAAAAAACAATTATCATATTTTTTAATGGCAAATGAGGTTCCAATGGTATAGAGGGCCTTGTTATGCAATTTAAACTATTTAGCCAACACATTCTCATTGGGGTTCCTTGTTATTGTTTTGAAAGGTTCTTGCTTCGATGCTTTGTCAATTCACGATATAAAATATCGATATTTTACGTGTGGAGGATTTGAAATACAGCGCGTCAGCACCGTTCAATTGCAAAATGTTTGATGTCGGTGTATGTGGGGCCGGAGTAGGCGATGAGATGGCATTACACTGGTCAACAACAAAAAAAAACACATGTTTTTCTGGCCTGGACTTTTGCAGCTGTTTCAGACTAATTTCAGGGTGCTGATTCCAAATCTGATCTCAGATTTGCTCTATCACATCTAATTTTTATGCTATCGTCATTCCCCATTTTCATTGATTTTACCCAAAATGAACTCTGTCACTTATGATTGCAAGTTGTTGCGAGTCAGTGACTGCTTTAGTGTTAAAATATGGTGCTGTATTTTTAGGATAGTGTGTTTATAATATCATCTTATGTAGATATCCACATTCATTTAATATTTTTCTTCTGCAGTTTTTATTGAAAATGAAATATTTGATATCTCAAAAACCTGATGTGATAGACAAAAACTGATGCCAGATTTGGAATCAGCACCCCAAAATTACATTAAAACCATTGGAAAACCTTATGCCAGAAAAAGTGTGTTGACCTGTGTTATAAACGTGGGCTACTGATACAGCATCAGACGACGCAATAATTTGTTGAGATCAATAAATCAAATACATAGCTGAAACAATGTATTGGGTGATGCTGCTGCTGATGTCTTTGCAGTGGTGCACATTTAACACAATGCACACTCAACGCATTCGTCAAGAACACGTTTGCCCACAATTTTTTTAAATAACAGGACCCAACGACCTGTAATTCGGCACAATGTAATCTTCCAAGTGCAGCAGCAGCAGCAGCATCGAGGCTGCCTCCACTCCTCACTCTCGAGATCTCCCCATCTCGCCCCTTACAATTCCATCACATCCTACCCCCCCCCTCTTCCTTAGCCTCTCATCGCACCCCCCCTCTCTCACTCCCCTTCTCATCTCCCTCCCCATCCTTCCCCTCTCCCTTACTACCCCCCCCCCCCCCCCGTTTCTCACCCCCAAAATGTAATTTATTTTTTCGTTCATCTCCTCTCTCTCTCTCTTAACCAGCTCAAGCCTTCCGTTTGCCACGTGACGTGTGTGTGTGGCCACTGTTTCATTGCTTTCATGGCTTTATTTGAGTGATTTCGAAAAGTGTATTGGTTTAGCCATGTTTGTTTGTTGTAGTACAGAGTTATACTGATGGCCTTAATCTAAGTTGTCTTATGGTTGTTGTTGGTTGTTTGACTTGCATTCCACTGGGATTTTTACACACAGCGTTGGCTTTATTTTGGTGATTTCGAAAAGTGTATTGGTTTAGCCATGTTTGTTTGTTGTAGTACAGAGTTAGACTGATGGCCTTAATCTAAGTTGTCTTGTGGTTGTTGTTGGTTGTTTGACTTGCATCCCACTGGGATTTTTGCACACAGTGTTGGTGTATGGTGCTTTTTCTGCAATATTTTGCTGTCTTTTCTTAGATTTTCTGTTTGCACTCAGTCACATATTCACTTTAAGATGTTTTTTGTTCGTGTTTTTGTTCTTTGTTTATTGCGGTTGCACCCGATTCAAGAGCCAAATGGCTCACAGGGCTATACCTAATAAATGAACTTGAACGCCCACTCTGAACCCCTCCGCGCCATTTGCCCCCTATGAGAACAGATGCCGCTCCTCCTCCTCCTCCTTGCAGCTCACTTCTGCCTCTCTTCCCTCCCTTCTCATCGTCATCACCAGCCTCTCTTTATTTTTTACGGTCAGTGGAAACAAGAAGATGCTCGGTGTAGTCGGCACTTTGCTTCGTTCATCATTTCTAAAAATCTTTTTAATAACTTTGCTTTATGTAAACCCCCACCTCTCGCTCGCTCTCTCGCTTGCTCTCTCGCCGCTCTGTCGCTCGCTATCTCGGTCACCCTTTCGGTCTCTCTCTCTCTCTCGCTCGCTCTCTCGGTCGCTCTCTCGGTCGCTCTCTCGGTCGCTCTCTCGGTCGCTCTCTCGGTCGCTCTCTCGGTCGCTCTCTCGGTCGCTCTCGCTCGCTCTCTCGCTCGCTCTCTCGCTCTCTCTCTCTCGCTCTTTCGCTCACTCTCTCGCTCACTCTCTTGCTCACTCTCTCGCTCACCCTCTTGCTCACCCTCTCGCTCACCCTCTCGCTCACCCTCTCGCTCACCCTCTCGCTCACTCTCTCGCTCACTCTCTCGCTCACTCTCTCGCTCTCTCTCGTTCTGCACGCAGCCCTTCTCGCAGTCCAACGGCCTCCGACGGGTAGCTCATAACTGCATGCAGAGCTCCCCGTCATCTGCCTCTCACCCCCGACACCTCCGCACCGTCATTCCCCCTCCTCCCTTTGCTGTTGCTGACCGTGAGTCGTGGCTCCTCTTGGACCATCTTGGGGACCTCCTTCCGGGCGTCGCTTCCCTTCCCTTTGATAAAGAGCTTCATAGCTCATCGGATTCCCCCGTTGTAAATGCAGATTCTGATTTTTTTTCCATTAATTTATCTCTAACTGTGCATTACTTCCTTGACTCTACCCCCTCCCCCTGTGTTATCACGTCCGAACGTGCGATAGGGAATCCCTTCAGTGCGACTGTGCCGCAAGATTGTGGAATGAGTCATATGGGGAGGGGTGGTGGTGCCGCGGTTAGCGTATTATGCCATGAAGCCGGTGGCCTCAGTTCGATTACCGACCACAGAGACATCCGCGGTGATCGATATCTGAACTGGGCCCCATCATCTCCCCCACCCTGCCAGCACTTCACCGACCCACACTGACCAGCGTGGTGGAGTATGGTGAAACGGTCCCCATGACCGATACGGTGTAGAAGAGGCATTCATGCAGCAGCGGAGTGACAAAAGGGCTGCACAGTATTAGGACTGTTTGTCGTGTTGTTTATTTGTCTCGATCAGCTCCAGCCTCCTCCTGTAGTCGCTGAGAAGATGCATTTTAGAAACATGCGCTTCGAGTATTTGGCTCCTGATATGAAATTCCACGTGATAAGCCACATCGTTGAGATATCATTTGTGGCCAGGTCGCTTCTGAATAAGTAATATTAAAAAAAAACTAAAAAAAAAAACACGCTTTAATGAAATGATCCATACTAGTAATGGAAGAACTCCACGACTCCAGGAAGTGTCCCCGAAGCTTGCCACAACGTAAGGGGCCGTGGTGATTTACAGCCAACGTTAGTTGAGCGTGAACAATTAGACCCATGCCGAAACATACAATATAAAAAAGAATGTTTAAAAATACTTATTTTTTATTTTTAATGATAGAATATAGTATTGTCATCAGTATGACATAAGTATACCAAGTTTGCAGTCGATACCACATTGGGAAGTGGGTTAAAATTGAGTTACAAGATTTGAGGATACAACAACAGACAGAGTGAGTTAATAGAAAGCGTGTAATATAAAGCTCTCCATAGCTAAGTGAGCCCTACCTGGTAAGATAAAAAAAATATGAGAATAGGTTTTCCCCTTTTTTCTGGCAACAAAACAGCTGTGTTAAGATGTTAAAACACCAAACTGAAACCTTTTACAAGGAATCATGTCTGCATTAACCACAATACTTGTAGTCAGAATGCAAACAATAAACGTACTCTGATAATAATATATGCATTGCCCTTGAAACTGATTGGTCCACACCAGAGACAACTTTCTTTTGAGCCTCGTCTCAAACCGGTGTTAGACCAGAGGACGCCAAAAGGCATTAACCACAATACTTGACCACAAGCATTGTGGTTAATGCAGACATGATTCCTTGTAAAAGTTTTCAGTTTGGTGTTTTAACATCTTAACACCTGTTTTGTTGCCAGCAAAAGGGGGAAAACCCATTCTCATATTTTGGTACTGGCAAAGGAGGTCGCATGATAAATAAAATAGTTAGTTATAGTTAATAGGTTACATGCCACGTGTGTGGCCACCCTTGACGGGCCCACACTGAAGACGCTGTCCTCCGCTGTCCCCCGAGGTGCCGGCTCTCATGCTCCCCACATTGCACCCCACCACCCCCCTCTAGGAGGATGACGGCCGTGGCGCCGGGCCTGCTGCTGCTGCTGCTCACCCTCACCCTGTGTGACTCCACGGGGCCTGCACATGCAGGTGAGCAGCCTCACCCACTCACTCACTCACCCACCCACTCACTCACCCACTTACTCACTCACTCACCCATCCACTCACTCACTCACCCACTCACTCACCCACCAACTCACTCACCCACTCACCCACTCACTCACTCACTCACTCACCCACTCACTCACCCACTCACCCACTCACTCACTCACCCATTCACTCATTCACTCACTCACTAACCCACCCACTCACTCACTCACTCACCCACTCACCCACTCACCCACTCACTCACTTACCCACTCACTCACCCACCCACTCACTAACTTACCCACTCACCAATTCACAGTCACCTACTTACATAACTACAACAACCGCCATTGGCTACTAAGTGGCGGTGACGTCACCATGTGCACTAACCGCTACATTACCCCTTCCCCCCCACGATAAATAAAGCTACGCAAGTTCCAACCGCTAAACGTAGCGACGTGGCCCTCCCCTTGGCAGAGAGGACGCGGGCCCCGAGCGGGCTGCATGTGCTGCCCCCAGAGTACCCCATGCAGCTCCGCCTGCGGTGGGAGCCTGCCGGCAACGCGTCCCAGCCGGAGGGCGCCCTCGTCAACTACGCCCTGCAGATCTTCCACTACTCCGCCAGCAAGAGGAAGGAGGTACGACGGCGCCACGCGGCCCGCACGGCCCCCTCTGCTCGCACGGAGGGGTCACGGCCACCCCGAGTGAACGTTGTGCCAACATTGGAGTGTGGCCGGAAACCGCAGGCTGGACAACGTTTCAAGGCCAGCGGCTCCAAATATTCATAAGTTTAGGAACTCGACGCCAATGTCGAGGTCTGCTGCTGGCTGCGACGAGAGGGCTTCAGGAGAGAGAGAGAGAGTTCATGTCGTTTTGCTGTTCCTCCTCCCTTGTTGAAGGAGCGCAGACTACGGTGGGTTACTGTATAGTTCATAGTGACGAAAGAGGGTGGTCCTCCAACACTGTCACAGTCTTCTTTCTGTTGGGCTTGAGTCAGTGCCAGGTGGATTATTGGTGTTTAATTAGCCCTGGTGATGGACCACAATTGAGCGGCCAACTCTCTCGTCAGCGTGAGTGTTTGAGCCACGAGCCACATTTCGTTTATGGAGAAGAGGCCATTGCTCAGAATGTAGCCGGATGGCGGTGGAGGTGGCGGTGGTGGTGGTGGCGGTGGAGGTGGCGGTGGCGGTGGTGGTGGCGGTGGCGCTGGAGGTGGCGGTGGCGGTGGTAGTGGAGGTGGTGGCGGTGGTAGTGGAGGTGGTAGTGGAGGTGGTAGTGGAGGTGGTGGAGGTGGCGGCGGTGGAGGTGGTAGTGGAGGTGGTAGTGGAGGTGGTGGCGGTGGTGGCGGTGGAGGTGGTGGAGGTGGTGGCGGTGGAGGTGGTGGCGGTGGAGGTGGTAGTGGAGGTGGCGGTGGAGGTGGCGGTGGTGGTGGTGGTAGTGGAGGTGGTTGTGGCGGTGGTAGTGGAGGTGGAAGTGGAGGTGGTAGTGGAGGTGGTAGTGGAGGTGGTGGCGGTGGAGGTGGTAGTGGAGGTGGAGGTGGTAGTGGGGGTGGAGGTGGAGGTGGTAGTGGAGGTGGTGGCGGTGGAGGAGGTGGAGGTGGTAGTGGGGGTGGAGGTGGTAGTGGTGGTGGTAGTGGAGGTGGTAGTGGAGGTGGTAGTGGAGGTGGTGGCGGTGGGGGTGGTAGTGGAGGTGGTAGTGGAGGTGGAGGCAGTGGAGATGGTTGTGGAGGTGGTAGTCGAGGTGGTGGTAGTGGAGTTGGTGGCGGTGGGGGTGGAGGTGGTAGTGGAGGTGGTAGTGGAGGTGGTAGTGGAGGTGGTAGTGGAGGTGGTGGCGGTGGAGGTGCCGGCTTCGCGGCTGCCTGCAGTAATCCAGCACTATGGAGGCAGCAGCGAGCTGGGTTGGTGAATCGCGCAAATATTGCAAAATCCCCGTCCTGTGGGGGGTGTGGAGGAGCTGTGCCCTGGCTCGCCAGCAGAAGATAGTGCAGCATAATGTCGACTCAACTCGTTCCCTTAGATTTCGCTTTAAAGCTTTCGTGACTGCAGGGATTCATCTTCTTGGTTCTTTCGGTAAAGTCACGTAGAAAGAAAATAATAAAATAATAAAAATAAAACATAATAAAATAATTCTCACGACGTTTCGGCCACAACGCAAGCAGCCATCCTCAGGTGAAGACCAGGTCTGTCGGGGAGACAGCATTTGAAATTCAGACGCTGTCTTTTTATTATGTTTTATTTTTATTATTTTATTACTTCCCTTCTACGTGACTTTACCGAAAGAATCAAGAAGATCGTTCCCTTAGTATGGAATAAAATATTTCTCCCCCCCCCCCCCCCCCCCGCATGTAAGCACTCATTAATTGGCCGGTAACACCGACATAGAGGACTGCAGAGCTTGGGCAAATTGTTGGTAGCGCCGCATCACCCACACGGCTGCTGCCTTTCCGCTGCTCGTCCATTGTTGCCCTTCTCACCTCTGAGTCGTCCTCTCTTTCTCTTGAAGAGTGTGCGAACACCGCGCGATGGCGCTGCGTCACAAGTCGTCTGCAGATCGATTCCAACGTCATCGAACGTCTGTCCCTGCGCCTCCGTCGTTCATGCAGGGGGCTTGTGGGTTTGCAGCGCCCCCTGCATGAAAACGACGGAAAGTGCAGCGTTCATCACAGATAAAGTTGTGCGCTGATATAAGAGTATGATATAGTTATATAACAAAATTATATTATAATAATTCTGAAGGCCTCACACACGCACAGTGTGATTGCCGGATGTGTGTGTGGTTGAGGCCTCCCGCACTTCGCAGGGGCTAACCGAGGTCCTCCCCCCCCCCCCACCCGCGCTGCTCACAGCTGCAGTGCATCCTGACGCCGCTGACCAACTACACCAACTCCCAGTTCAGTGCCGTCGCCGCGTGGGCGCGTGTCGGCGTCGTCTCGTGGCACGCCGACGCTTGCACCAACTCGAGCCAGCGGCACAGCAACTGGAGCGAGCCCGTGGACATCTCCTCCCCGCGGGGTGAGCGGCAATCAAACAAATAGACGGGAAAGACAAAGATCCCCCAGTGCTGTTAGCGAGCACCGATGAAGGCCGGCACGGCACACGGGGAGGTGGGTGGCCAGCACCAGGCCCGGCCGCCTTTGTCTCCACAACGATGGCGCTGTTTACACACCGCACCAGGTACTCGTTTGAGGCTGCGTCGACCTAGGAGAGGCCCAGGACCGGTTCAGATAATCGTCGCTGGCGTTGGTGGCCGTCAGCGGGAATCAAAATCGGGTCGCCGGCTTGGTAGCACAGCACGCTAGCGACTGCCCCGCTCCCAGCACTAAACAGACACAACAACAACCGCCATTCGCCACTAAGTGGCGGTGAAATCACCACGATGCTTGTGCCAGGCCATGTGCACCTCGAGGCCACGTTAAGTATCGAACGCCCGCTGGTAGGAGGTGACGGGGCAGACCCAGGTGCCACGGGTCGACTGACTGAGATGACTGAGATGACTGGCTGATGCACCACCTGTGCCCCCTACTGTGCCAACAGACACGCACTCTCACTCACGCACACAGACACGACAGACACCTGTTTAGCCTGGCAGACTGTTCAGGTCACCGCCAGGGTGGCACACAGGGGGGGGGTGGGGGGGGTGGCCAGCACCACATCCATTCACGGCCGCATTTGGACCCCGGGATTAGGTCGGCGTTGTTGACCCTCGGCCGCTTGTTGAAGGAGCCTGGGGTAAGGTTGTCAGGGTAAGGATGTTGAACCTTGACGGCGGGGAATGTGACGGAAAGTAGTGACAGCTTCTATGTAAGCTTCGAGAGGTAGGAGGTCGTGATCGGGTGGGACGCGTGTGTCGGGTGGTGGAGGGCGGGTGACCCACAGGGAAGTGGGGTGGAAGAGCGGAGTTTGAAGGTCGTGTGTCGACTGTGGGACAGCTGTGAGGTTTGCTCAGCAGGAAGCAGATGGCGATCGTGTGTTGTGGCATGCAGCATGTACAGTACAACAAGTGGACTGTGCAGCATGTACAGTACAACAAGTGGACTGTGCAGCATATACAGTACAAGTGGACTGTGCAGCATATACATTACAAGTGCACTGTGCAGCATATACAGTACAAGTGGACTGTGCAGCATATACAGTACAAGTGCACTGTGCAGCATATACAGTACAAGTGGACTGTGCTGCATATACAGTACAAGTGGACTGTGCTGCATATACAGTACATGTGGACTGTGCAGCATATACAGTACAGGTGGACTGTGCAGCATATACAGTACACATGGGCTGTGCAGCATATACAGTACTACAAGTGAACTGTGCAGCATGTACAGTACATGTGGGCTGTGCAGCATGTACAGTACTACATATGGACTGTGCAGCATGTACAGTACTACAAGTGGACTGTGCAGAATGCACAGTACATGTGGACTGTGCAGCATGTACAGCACAACAAGTGCACTGTGCAGCATGTACAGTACATGTGGCCCGCTCACTATTTTTCGACGTGGAGTTGAGGATCTTCGAAGCGTCAGCGTGTAGAGCCGAAACATGAACCCCGCGTGTCCCGGAAAATGGACCTCGTTATGTAAACCGCGTGCAGCCAAACGCGCGTTTGGGCAAGGTTTGACTGTACTACTAATATAACTATACTCTTTGGTTCTTTCGGTAAAGTCACGTAGGTATAAAATAAAATAAATCACGACGTTTCAGGTGGGAAAGCATGGTCTGCTGCTGAGGTAGACTGTTGTAAAAGGTTTGAAATGTGTGTAGCCCAAGGGTCATAAAGAATTGGCCGGGGCTAGTGATGTTAATGTGAGAAATTATCATGTAACTTAAGGAAACCTTAAGTTGGTTATGAGTTCTGGGATGCAGGGCGATCATCTCTCAGTATTTTGGGGCTATAAGGTATCGTGAGATGTTCATGCAGAGGTTGTCATGTGTCACGTGTGTGTGTGTGTCCCTGCCTGTCTATACATACACCTGTGTGTGTGTGCCCCTACCTATGTCTATAGATACACCTGTGTGTGTGTGTGTGTGTCCCTGCCTGTGTCTATACATACACCTGTGTGTGTGTGTGTCCCTGCCTGTGTCTATACATACACCTGTGTGTGTGTGTGTCCCTGCCTGTGTCTATACATACACCTGTGTGTGTGTGTCCCTGCCTGTGTCTATACATACACCTGTGTGTGTGTGTGTCCCTACCTATGTCTATACATACACCTGTGTGTGTGCGTGGGTGCACCTTTGCGTGAGTCATAAGGAGGGGGGTTTGTGCAGTGGTTAGCCTGCTGTGCTACGAACCCGGTGACCCGGGTTTCATTCCCGCTCACGGCCAACACCAGTGACGATTATCTTAACTTGTCCTGGGCCTCCCCTAGGTCGATTCGGCCTCAAATGAGTACCTGGTGCGGTGTGTAAAACATCGCCACTGGGGAGACAAAGGCGGCCGGGCGTGGTGCTGGCCACCCACCCCCTCGTGTACCGTTCCGGCCTTCGTAGCTGCTCGCTAACGGCACTTGCTCCAACAGTCTGTGAAGGCTACACGGGGGGTCTTTGTCTTTGTGTGACTGCATGTGCGTGTGTGCGCGTATCCAGGACTGTCGGGCAGTGCTGCGAGCGGCGTGCGCTGTGCGCTGCTCACTGGGGCTGCGGGGACGATGGAGTGCACGTGGACACGGGGACTCAACGCCAGCGCCGACACCGAGTACTCGCTCTACTACTGGTAGGCCTCCAGCCACCCCCACTCCTCGCCGCCACCACACCCACCGCGCATTCACACCGCCACCACACCCACCGCACATTCACACCGCCACCACACCCACCACGCGCATTCACACCACCACCACACCCACCGCGCATTCACACCGCCACCACACCCACCACGCATTCACACCACCACCACACCCACCGCACATTCACACCGGTACCGGACGTACGCACCTCGCACCCGCAGAGCAGAGTTCTGCTAATTCACGCCATGGCCATCCGCAACGGAGACTCGCACCCAAGGATGCGCGCGTCTCTGTTGTGCGCTCAGAACGAGTCACGTGGCCGGCAGAAAACGGCACCCGATCAAAATTGCGATGAGAGCGTGATGCATATCTTGAATTGGGCAAGATTCATTTTTTATGAGAGTTTGGCAAAAAGAGGCGATGGGAGGGAGTTACAAATTGGAGCATTGCGAGGGAAAAAAGCAGTGACACACCCAGCATGTCGTACGGGCGGAAGAATCGATTGAGTGAGGTTCACAGGTGTAGCGGTGACCTTGGCAGCAGTGATAGAAGAGCTATAAGGAGGCAACTGACCGCCGGTGAGCGAGCGAGTGACCCAAGTGAATCGGCAAGTACCGGATCACCGATCGGCCAGACTGCAGCAGCGACGTTGGAACCGAGAGCTCCCTGAGGCCCGGACGTGGCGGCAGCGTCGCGGTGGCTACGAGATGTTAACTACCTCGCCTGGTGTACAGGAGGTCGTGAGTTCGTCCCCGACCCTAACGCCTGCTGTATGTTTGGAGTTTGCGTGTGTCTCGCCCAATGCTCACGTGGATTTTCCCCCTCCACATTTACAAAGAATAAGTCGAGATAGTTGCTCGGATCGAATCGCCCTCTCCCTCCCCCCCCCCGCGTGTCGTGACGAGCCAGGCACAGCACCCTCAACGCCACGCGCCGGTGCGTCCCGTGCACTCACGAGAGGCTCACGGCTGCCGACGCCGACACCGCCACCGAGCTTTGTCACCACTCGGGCAGGGGGGCCGGGCACGGGAAGAAGGCCGTGACGAAACAGCGGAAAACTCGGCCTGGAATTTCGTCCGGGACGTGGAGCACGACTCACGGGGCAGCAGGAGGGGCGGCCGACTCGGCAGCGGAGGCCACGGGACGGACCGCCGCGGCCTCCGCTGGAGCCGCCGTGCCGGGAGGAGGGGGGGGGGCCGCGCCGGTGCCGCAGCGCTGCTGCGTGCCGCTGGCGGACGTCCCCGAGTACCGCAGCTTCAGGATCCTCGTCAACGGCACGAGCGCCCACCACGACGTGACGCCGTTCTACTGCCCGCTGCCCGTGGAATCGCTGGGTGAGCGACCTCGACCTCTGCGGCGCATGAGGACGCGCGCGCGTGTGTGCGTGTGTGTGTGTATGCGTGTGTGTGTGCGTGTGTGCGTGTGCGTGTGTGCGTGTGCGCGTGTGCGTGTGTGTGTGTGCGTGTGTGTGCGTGTGTGCGTGTGCGTGTGTGTGCGTGTGTGCGTGTGTGTGTGTGCGTGTGTGCGTGTGCGTGTGTGTGTGTGCGTGCGCTGCTGCTGAGACTGGAGCGTGCCACTAAGAGGTGGGGCCTTACCATCAGCCCCACCAAAACCAAGCACCTGCCTGGGTATTTTGTACCATCGGACACTCCACCCCCACAACTCCCAATTGGTGATGGGGCAGTTGTGGAGAGAGTGGAGAGTTTCCCATACCTGGGCAGTGTGCTTATGACCGGCTCCAGTCTATCAGCAGAGGTCTCACTCCGAATCAGTCGAGCGGCAATATCTTTTCATCGGTTGTGTAACGCTGTGTGGAAGCTACCTGGTCTGTCGCTCCGCACGAAGCTTCAGGTCTTCTCGGCCACGGTCATTCCCTCCCTTCTCTACGCTTGCGAGACGTGGACCCCCCTGGTGGAGCATCTTCGCCGGTTGGAAACATTTAGGCTGGCCTGCCTACGGTCCATCCTGGGTTTAACCAGGCTGGATTGTGTGAGGAGCTCACAAATCCTTGAAAGATCTGGGCAAAGTCCCATCAGTGAGCTCCTCCGGCAGGCAAGGCTGCGTTGGCTGGGTCATGTAGCCCGCATGCCCAGCCACCGCATGCCTAAACAGCTTTTGTTCGGCCGGATCGAGGGGGCTAGACGGGCGCGGCACGGGCTGGAGAAGAGATGGAGTGATGTGGTACAGGAGGACGTGGAGCTGAGTGGACTTGCCGATGACTGGTACCAGCGGTGTCAAGATCGGCCTCAGTGGAGGAGGCTCGTGAAGGACGCTACTGGGCAGTTGGAGGCAGTCGCCCTCCAACAACAACGGAGGGCGGAGGAGCGACGCTCACAACAACGAGCGGAGCGCCGGGTGGCTAAAGCACAGCAAGTTGGCACAGTAGGGGGCACAGGTGGTGCATCAGCCAGTCATCTCGGTCATCTCGGTCAGTCGACCAGTGGCACCTGGGTCTGCCCCGTGACCTCCTGCCAGCGGGCTTTCGACACTTCACGTGGCCTCAAGGTGCACTTGGCCTGGCACAAGCATCGTGGTGACGTCACCGCCACTTAGTGGCGAATGGCGGTTGTTGTTGTTGTTGTGTGTGTATGCGTGTAGTGTAGCGGTTATCGCGCTGCGCTATGAACCTGGCAACCCGGGTTCGATTCCCGCTCACGGCTAACACCAGGGACGATTATTTTAACCGGTCCTGGGCCTCCCCTAGGTCGACTCCGCCTCAAATGAGTACCTGGTGCGGTGTGTAAACATCGCCACTAGGGAGACAAAGGCCGGTCGGTCATGGTGCTGGCCACCCACCCCCTCGTGTAACGTTCCGGCCTTCATAGGTGCTCGCTAACAGCACTTGCCCCTACAGTCTGTTAGGGCTATACGGGGGATCTTTGTTTGTGTGCATGTGTGCGCGCGTGTGCGCACGTGTGCGCACGTGCATGTGTGTGCGCGCACGGTGGTGGAGGTGGTGGTGCTCGTGGTGGATGCAATGCTGTGCAGGTACACACCTCATGCCTGCTCTGGGTGGAATTGTCAGCGCGCTGGACTTTCCCTTGAGAGGTGGCCCATTCTATTTCCTGGCCTGGCATTTGAAACATCGCGTGCAAATTTTTTCAATCCTCCCACCCCTGTTCGCCCAGCGACACTCACACACACGCACACACAGTGTATATATGGGGCCGTCCATAAATGACGTCACACACCTAGGGGGGGGGGGTCAGACATTTGTGACGATGTGTAACGAGGGGGGGTGGGGGTTTGAGAAATGTGACGTCACATAAAAATGCGCAACTTTAAATAAATATAGACAACACGTTCTACTTAATTAAATAGACTTTTTAATAAATGTTTTCTCCTACAACATCAGAGTGCAGCACCACATTTAATACACACTACAATGACAATAGTTTAAAGCGATTTGAAGCATGTTTTATTTTGGGGGGGGGAGCTTTGTGACGTCATATTTGAGGGGGGGGTCTGACTTTTTGTGACGCCGTGTGACGAGGGGTGGGGGGGTTAAAATCAGCGCCCCTTTAAGCCAGTGTGCCTCAGCGGCCGTGCTTGAGTGGCGGGTGGTAGCATGCGTGTGTGCGCGTGTGTGCGTGTGTGTGCGTGTGTGTGCGTGCGTGTGCGCGTGTGTGCGCGCGTGTGCGCGTGTGTGCGCGTGTGTGCGCGTGTGTGTGCGTGTCTGCCGTTTGCTCTCCTGCAGTGAAGCCGGACCCCCCGTCTGAGTTGCACGTGCACCTCAACGGGAGCAGCCTGCTGGTGAAGTGGGATCCTCTGCCGGGGTACCAGCGCCACCAGTCCACGTGCTACCAGACGGACATGCGGATCCACAGCGTGCCGCAGGATATGAGTACCGTCGGTGGGGGTGGCGGTGGGCACTACAAGGATGTGAGTGTCGTCGGTGGTGGTGGTAGCGGTGGTGGCGGTGGTAGCTGTGGTGGTGGTGGTGGTGGTAGCGGTGGTGGTGGCGGTGGTAGCTGTGGTGGTGGTGGTGGTAGCGGTGGTGGTGGCGGTGGGCACTACGGGGATGTGAGTGTCGTCGGTGGTGGTAGCGGTGGTGGTAGCGGTGGTGGTAGCTGTGGTGGTGGTGGTAGCGGTGGTAGCGGTGGTGGTGGCGGTGGTAGCGGTGGTGGTGGCGGTGGGCACTACGGGGATGTGAGTGTCGTCAGTGGTGGTTGTAGTGGTGGCGGTGGTGGTAGCGGTGACGGTGGGTACCACAGGGCAGCAAAACTCCACAGCACGACGCCTCGGGTTCAACCGCAGAGGACACGGCATCGTGGTACATTGTTATTTATCATTATTATTCGACGCTAGTTTACCCAGAAAAGCCTCGCCGAATCTCAAGATTCTGGTGATGTTTTTTTCGTCAAGCGTTGGGATGTTTGGGCCAACACCACCAGTTACGCTCGACAGTTACACTGTACGCTTTTGGGTTTAGCTACAGGGGAGGGGGTGACACGTGCAGAACAAAGGGCGAGGACATAGAAAGGGGACCACAGTGGCCGGGAATCGAACCCGGGCCCTTCTCGCCGCGAGGCACGGGTCTCACCGCAGCGCCACCACCCTGCCGCCCAAATGACGTGGCCGATCGGGAGAGCGAGTGTTGTCGCGTGGTGCCTACGGAGCTCTTTCATCTTCGTCGTCGCCCTTTGCCATTCTTGCGTCGATCTCTGCGGCGCAAGTCACCCACGCGTGGCTGACGGGCGCCCCGAGTGTTTGAAACCGCTCGGGTGATCTCATCGTCACGATGTTGTAAAGCGAAAGAATTGGCCCGTGAGATGTGGAGCGCTCAACGAGGATAATATAAAGAAGGTGTATAGTGGTCAAGCAAGTTCACCGTAGGTGTCTGTTTGCCCATATAAGGAGTTATGAACAGGAATTAGAATAATGATCACGATTCAGAACCCATGCTCGACCACGTGCTCGACCCAATGCTCGAACAGTGAACATGTAATCATCGTCAGACTCGATTTTTATTATTTATTACAATTCCTAAAGTCAGGAATTACTAATCGATTCCGGTGGAATTTTAGGAGTCGGTGGCATCGATTGGCAGGAAGGCAAAGGAGCAGCCCTGCAATTGCTCGCTCAAGCCGCTGCTGGCGGAAGGGCCTCCACACAAATTTCGATATCTACAGCCCCTACTGCCGACACTTTCACTCGCCACGGTCGTTCGGAGATGTTAGCTCCCTCGCCTGGTGTGCAGGAGGTCGTGGGTTTGATCCCGACCCTGACATCTGTTAATTTGGAGTTTGCGTGTCTCTCTTACTATGGTCCCGTGAATTTTTCTCCGGGTCCTCTGGTTTTGCCCCTCCACATTTAGAATCAACATCACGCGTTCAGAGTATTTGGCTGCTATAAATTCCCGCTTGATAAGCCACTTCGTTGAGCTATCATTTGTGGCCAGGTTGCTTCTGAAAAAGAGCTACATAGCTCAGTGGGGCTTACCTGGTAAAATAAAAAATAGTTTAAATAGTTTATAGTTTCGTCATATTGCATAGTAAAGCTACACTGAGGCCACCGTGCGTGCACGTGTGTGCGAGTCCCCTCCCCTAGGTTGACTCAAACGTAAAACGATTACCTGGGTGCGGTGTGTAAAACGTCGGCACTGTGGAGGCAAACGCAGCGGGGCGTGCTGTTGTGTGGGCCACACGACCCTGAGTGTGCCATTGTCCCGGCCTTCTTCTTCACACTCGCTGGTCGCTTAACCGCACTTGCCCCAACGGCGGCGGGGCGCGAGGGGGGTGAGGCGCACGTGTTGCTCGCGCGATCTGGCCCAAAAATGACACTGGTCAACACACTTTCTCTGACATAAGGTATTCCAACGGGTTTAAGGTAATTGATTCCAAATCTGGCATCAGTTTTTGTCTATCACATCAGGTTTTTGAGATATCAAATATTGCATTTTCAATAAAAACTGCAGAAGAAAAATATTAAATAAATGTGGTTATCTACATAACATGATATTATAAACACACTATCCTAAAAATACAGCACCATATTTTAACACTAAAGCAGTCACTGACTCGCAACAACTTGCAATCATAAGTGACAGAGTTAATTTCGGGTAAAATCAATGAAAATGGGGTATGCCGATAGCATAAAAATGAGATGTGATAGAGCAAATCTGAGAACAGATTTGGAATCGGCACCCTGAAATTAGTCTAAAACAGCTGCAAAAGTCCAGGCCAGAAAAAAATGATTTTTTTTTGTTGACCAGTGTTATCAATTACGAATCAAGAGCGATGCGTAATTTTCAAATAGAGGGAATTACATTGGCTTGCTGAAGTAACACTAACGGTATTCTTTGTATTGTCACCACCTCGAGTCTCTCCCCCGACTAGAATAATGCTCCGTTGACTGAACATGTTCAGGGTGGACATCTCAATTTTTCGACAATTAACGGATAATTTCTGATGAATGACGTCAAATTGCACTTTCCCCAACGGTCTCTTCATGGCTGGCTGGGCTGCTGTTGGAGGGGGTCTCTGTCTTTGTTCCCTGCAGCACCAGGAGGTGTCGGAGCCAAGGGCTTCGTGGCCGCCGCCCGAGCCCCAGGGATGCCACGCGGTGACGTTCCGCGTGAGGGCCCGGCCCGGGCGGTGCAAGGCGCACGGCGTGAGGGGTCTTTGGAGCGAGTGGAGCCCTGAGGCCCGATACATCCCCAGCCCGGCGGCCCTGCTCTGCGCGGTGCGTCGCCGTGACACGGCCGGCATACAGAAAGGAGATAACTTAATGGATGGCGCAGCTCTGATTTAGCACGGTTGGCTACGTACGGTGCGAAAGAAGTTGAACGTGCATACGAACGAACCCCACCGTCACCACCGCCACCCGCCTGACAGTTGGCGTTAGAGATGAAAAGTCATGGAGAAGTTTGTCGAGCAGTCTGTACGTTGACCTCAGTTCTGTGACTGTTTGAGTCGTTCCCGCTCACATCCTCGGACATGGTAACGTGGACAAGCCCAGCACTGGCTGTGCCCCCCCCCACCCCAAACAACCTTGTGGTTCGTTCTGTTTGGATCTCAATTAAAATTGGGTTGGGGAGGATGACATCACATGCCTAAGAGAGAGCTGTGATTGGTGAATCCCAGCTGCATCGCTCTCATGTTTAATAAACGGATGCAAAAATAAGTGAATTGATGTGCGCGTGCCAGAGATGTTGTCCACGCTGTACCGAAAATCTACAATAATGATGATGTATAACTGAAGCCGTGAAAGCTTCAGATCAATAGTATGTACACAACTGTACGGGTACTATGTGCAAGATAAAGGTAGCTAAGCACAGGCCCAAAAGGCACATAAGGGCTGCAACAAAACCGCACCATCAGAGTAGTAACGGATCGGATTTAATAGCGGTGCTTGAATTGAGCAAGGTTGTTATATGAGAGCTTCGGAGGAGACGATGGGAGGGAATTCTAGTAGTGGAGCAGTGCGATGGAAGAAGCGGAGAGAGAAGTGGTGGTGACCTGCAGTGTGCTGAGTGAGTGGGTGAGTGGGTGAGCGAGTGGATGGGTGTGAGTGAGTGGCCTCAAGGTGCACATGGCCTGGCACAAGCGTCGTGGTGACGTCACCGCCACTTAGTGGCGAATGGCGGTTGTTGTTGTTGTGTGGGTGAATGGATGAGTGCTTGGATGAGTGAGCGAGCGGGCGAGTGTATGTATGTTGAACTTCTTTCACACCGTACGTAGCCAACCGTGCTAATCGGAGGTGCGGGGGAAGGACAACAAACTAAACGCATAATTTTTTTAAAATAAATTAGTTTTCAATCTCGATTTAATAGTGCACAGCTCCACTGCCTTTATCATATGGGAAGGAAGATCATTTCAGACGGCTGCAGATGCGCATCCGAGAGCGCGCGATGCAGTGACCATCTTTATTGGATGGCCAGCCAAAAGCCGCTGCGAGGATGAGCGGAGTTCGCATGGTGGTTTATGTTCCTTGACGAGATCTCCAAGGTTTTGTGGTTCATTTGTAGCAAGCACTTTGTGTGTAATGAGTGCGACCTTAACTTTTAACGTTAACGGTACATGGTGCTGTTAATGTACGGCGATAAGAACAGGGTTGGTGGAATATCATGAAGTGTCAATGTGCCTTGTGAGCAGAGGTCGCAACCGGGTACCCGATACCCGTACCCTACCCGATACCCAGCAACCCGTACCCATACCCGGCCGGGTACGGGTACGGGTAGCCGTTTGCGACCCTGGTGCGGCTGGGTACGGGTATGGGTAAGGAATCTAAACCCGTTTGCAACCTCTGCTTGTGAGCCGCCAGAGGCTTTTGGTGAACCGGAACTGTGCCCGTTGCCCCGTTCGTCGCGACAGGACGCGCACGGAGACGGCAACGCGACGGGTCATCGGACTCGGGTCGCCGAGTACCCGGAGCCCCGTGGGGCCCTGGGCGGCCAGGAGCCCCAGCCTCTCGCCTGGTTCCTCGCCAGTGGCCTCGTCGCGCTCAGCGTCGTGGTGCTGGCCCTGGTGTTCGTGTACAAGAGCCAACGGTAGCGCCCTCCTACTGCAAGCACACACACGCACACTCCACACAGTGCGAGAGTGTGTGTTACTGCAAGCACACACACACTACATACAGTGTGAGTGTGTGTGTGACTGCAAGCGCACACACGCACACTCCACACAGTGTGAGTGTGTGTGTGACTGCAAGCGCACACACGCACACTCCACACAGTGCGAGTGTGTGTGTTACTGCAAGCACACACACACTACACACAGTGTGAGTGTGTGTGTGACTGTAAGCGCACACACGCACACTCCACACAGTGTGAGTGTGTGTGTGTGACTGCAAGCGCACACACGCACACTCCACACAGTGCGAGTGTGTGTGTGGCTGCAAGCGCACACACGCACACTCCACACAGTGTGAGTGTGTGTGTGACTGCAAGCGCACACACGCACACTCCACACAGTGCGAGTGTGTGTGTTACTGCAAGCACACACACACTACACACAGTGTGAGTGTGTGTGTGACTGCAAGCGCACACACGCACACTCCACACAGTGTGAGTGTGTGTGTGTGACTGCAAGCGCACACACGCACACTCCACACAGTGCGAGTGTGTGTGTGGCTGCAAGCACACACACACACTCCACACAGTGTGAGTGCGTGTGTGTGACTGCAAGCACACACACGCACTCATACACACTTAACACACTAACACACACATCGTAACACACTCACTCACACTACAACAACTGCCATTCGCCACTAAGTGGCGGTGACGTCACCACGACGCTTGTGCCAGGCCATGTGCACCTTGAGGCCACGTGAAGTGTCAAACGCCCGCTGGCAGGAGGTCACGGGGCAGACCCAGGTGCCACGGCTCGACTGACTGAGATGACCGAGATGATTGGCTGATGCACCACCTGTGCCCCCTTACTGTGCACTCACACTAACAAAGACAAAGATCCCCCGTATAGCCTTAACAGACTGTAGGGGCAAGTGCGGTTAGCGAGCACCTATGAAGGCCGGAACGGTACACGAGGGGGTGGGTGGCCAGCACCACGCCCGACCGCCTTTGTCTCCCTAGTGGCGATGTTTACACACCGCACCAGATACTCATTTGAGGCCGAGTCGACCTAGGGGAGGCCCAGGACCGGATCAGATAATCGTCACCGGTGTTGGCCGTGAGCGGGAATCAAACTCGTGTCGCCGGGTTCATAGCGCAGCGCGCTAACCGCTACACTACCGCTCCCCAACTCAAACTAACACACACACACAGTAACACACTAACACACACATAGTAACACACTAACACACACACACAGTAACACACTAACACACACACAGTAACACACTAACACACACACAGTAACACACACAGTAACACACAGTAACACACACACAGTAACACTAACACACTAACACACACACACACAGTAACACACAGTAACACACACACACAGTAACACTAACACACACTAACACACACACACAGTAACACACACTCACAGCTCAACGCTGCATCGCCCCCCACCTCCCCGCAGGCTCAGGCGCTGCCTCGTGCCCTGGGTGCCGGACCCCTCGCGCTACTTCAAGAGCCTGTTCGACGTTCACAACGGCGACTTCCAGGTGAGGGCCTGTCAGGGTTACGGCGGCGTGCGCGCTAAAAGGAAAGAGCACGGCGTCGCGTCGCTTACACTGGTCAACAAAAGCCTGGACTTTTGCAGCTATTTTAGACTAATTTCAGGGTGCTGATTCCAAATCTGATCTCAGATTTGCTCTATCACATAATTTTTAAGCTATCGGCATACCCCATTTTCATTGATTTTACCCGAAATTAACTCTGTCACTTATGATTGCAAGTTGTTGCGAGTCAGTGACGGCTTTAGTGTTAAAATATGGTGCTGTATTTTTAGGATAGTGTGTTTATAATATCATTTTATGTAGATATCCACACTCATTTTATATTGTTCTTCTGCAGTTTTTATTGAAAATGCAATATTTGATATCTCAAAAACCTGATGTGATAGACAAAAACTGATGCCAGATTTGGAATCATCTCCCCAAAATTACATTAAAACCGTTGGAATACCTTATGCCAGAAAAAGTGTGTTGACCAGTGTTATCTGCCCGTGAGACCACACGCCAGCGTTGGGTCAACGCACAACCATCTGTGCGATGACCCACCAACTCCTCTCTGCTGCCTCCAGTGCAGGACCACAGGCAGCACTGGTGCAGCAGCGTAGCCACCAACACCACCGCCCGGCGGTGTTCACGTGGCAACTTTAATTATTCCGCGGTCGAGCGGAGGAGGGTGCACGACGCACATTTAACTCGTGCGGCAATCTGACCCCCAAACATTTTTTTCACTTGTGAATCGCATCGAGTCGCGCGGTTCCTTCTCCGCTCGCCACCGCCGTGCGTCGCGCGTGCGTCCACCCATGATTCCATGTGTCCGTGCGTGCGCCCGTATGTCTGTACGTGCGTCCGTGCGTGCGTGCAGGCCTGGGCCGGCTTCCAGGCGAGTGGGAAGCCTGCGGCGCCGTCGGCTGCTGCTGCTGGTGCCGCCGGCGACGAGGCGGAGGAGGGCTCCCCGGTGCCGCTGTGCGTCCTCTCCGAGATGGTGGCGCTCAACGTCGGCGTTGGCGGCGTTGGCGGCGTTGGCGGCACTAACGGATACCTCAACCTGGAGACGGTGGGCACCGAGACGGCGCTGCTCTGGCAGCACGGGTAGTAACCGCGGCGACGGTGGGAGGGATCGCCCGGCCACGGACTCGTCGGCACGGCCGAGCGTCGTGCCGGCGGCTAGCGGCGTGGGTTGACTGCCGCCCCCCCGGCAGTGACGTCTGTGGGAGGAGGAGCCTGGCGCCTAGGCCCGGGCAGGTGACCCCCCGGCCCCAAACACACGCGTCTTAGTCCAGCCTCGGCACCCCCCCCCCCCCACCACCTAAAGCGAATGATTAGATAACGAGTGTGCACGTCAGTATCGGTATCTCATTGTCAGCGATGATCTGTGTGCTCTGTGGTTGTCTCCTTGGCTCCTCTCTCTGTCTCCTTGTCTGTCTGCAATGTCGCTGTGTCCCTCCACGTCCCTCCACGTCCCTCCATCCCTCCATCCCTGTGTTTCTCTCCTTGCCTCTCTGTGTCTCGCTACGTGTGCCTCAACAACATCTTGGAGTACCAAGATGTTGTTGTTGGCAGGAGCGCTCCCTTCTCAACTACGGAGTGTCGCGTTCAACGCAAAAGAGAAGCAACACGATGCTTGGATGTTGTCTGCCGGCCAAGTCGCCCTTGACAAAAAGCTTCTTTGCTTTTCGTGCTTTACTCGGGGGAGACATTCAACTGAACTTCTGAAAGACGTCATTCGTCGCTGTGGAGCATTACGGGTCGAAGCGTATCGAAGCACAACTCCGTCCGACAATCTTGAAGCTGCATTCGTTCTACAGTTTACCTGCTGCATGCTGCTGCTATACATTTACGACGTTTTGAAATCGCAGAAATGTGTATACATAGCCAGGCGGGGTAGGGGGCCCACTACATGGGGAGGTGCGGGGGGGGGGGGGGGGCACGTGGTTCGCTGCAAATGCCCAGCAGCTGTGACCCCCCCCCCCATCACCACCTCGACCTCGCCGTGGCTGGAGATGCCACTGCTGTTAGCACCGGGACAAGGAATGGCTTTTACCACCCACCCCACCCCCCGCCCTGATCTTACCTCATCCTGCCCAAATGTATATACCTCTCTACTGTGTATATATATATTTACATACTGTATGACTGTTCTTCTTGGTTCTTTTGGTAAAGTCACGTTGAATGGAAATAATAAAATAATAAAAATAAAACAATAAAATACAATTCTCACGACGTTTCGGCCACAACGCAAGCAGCCGTCCTCAGGTGGAGAGCAGGTCTGTCGAGTAGACAGCGTCTGAATGGAATTCAGAATGCTGTGGAATGGAATTCAGACGCTGTCTTCCCGACAGACTTGTTCACCTGAGTACGGCTGCTTGCGTTGTGGCCGAAACGTCGTGAGAATTATTTTATTATGTTTTATTTTTTATTTTATTATTTCCATTCTACGTGACTTTACCGAAAGAACCAAGATGAATCCCTGCAGTCACGAAAGCTTTAAATCGAAATAAAAAAATGCATGACTGTTATCGTTGTTCTGTAACGATTATGTTCATTTATTCACTCGCCATCATCATCGTCGTCATCGTCGTCGTCACGAGGACGTCTTGCTGCTGCTGCTGGGCCCTTGTCGGGGCTGCTGCGCTAACACCGCAGGAACTTGGACTGCACCGGTTCGTGGGGGCCCAGTGCGGAGACTCTCGGGGGCTATTTAACGTTTTGCTGCCCAATGCCGTTACAAATTAAAAACCAAAAAGTACGTTTGTTCATAATACGGTTTTTTCTTTCTTGCCGGGGGTTAGATCGCGTAAATATGAATGTGTCGGTTTAACACGTAGGCCCAATATGGATCAATGTGTCGTTAAACCCGCCAACCAGCCGACACCACCAATTTGTCAGGTTTGTCACGTAAACGGCACATGCCAATTCGTTATGAGTACAGCACACCGGTGTGTTGGAGGGTAAATCCACAACATTAACAATCTGCGAAAGCCTACGTGTTGAACTCAAGTACGTTTTGGGACCTCCCTTGCCAGTATCAAAATATAAAACCAGGTTTTTACCCTTTCCAGCAATAAAACAGGTGTTAAGATCTTCTTGGTTCTTTCAGTAAAGTCACGTAGAAGGGAAATAATAAAATAATACAAATAAAACATAATAAAATACAATTCTCACGACGTTTCGGCCACAACGCAAGCAGCCGTCCTCAGGTGAAGAACAGCTTAAATATACGCTCCAAGCCCGGTGGTGTTCATTCAGACGCTGTCTTTCCGACAGACCTGTTCTTCACCTGAGGACGGCTGCTTGCGTTGTGGCCGAAACGTCGTGAAATTTGTATTATATTACGTAGTATTTTAATTATTTTATTATTTCCCTTCTACGTGACTTTACCGAAAGAACCAAGAAGATGAATCCCTGCAGTCACGAAAGCTTCAAATCGAGGTGTTAAGATGTTAAACACCAAACGGGAACCTTTTGCAAGGAATCATCTCTGTATTCATCGATAGTGGGGTCCTCTTCGTGCTGTTCACCTTTTGGTGTCCTCTGGTCTAACACTTTGAGACGAGGCTCTGAACAAAAGCTGCCTCTGCTGTGGACCAAGCGGTTTCAAATACGATGCATTATATGCTACCAGAGCGTGTTTATTTATTTTTCTTCCTAGCTCTTTCGGTAAAGTCACGTAGAAGGGAAGCAATATTATGTTTTGTTTTTATTATTTTATTGCTTCCCTTCTACGTGACTTTACCGAAAGAGCCAGGAAGATGAATCCCTGCAGTCACGAAAGCTTTAAATCGTGTTTATTTTATATGCATGTTCACCACACGTACGTGTGGTTAATGCCGACGCGATTCCTCGCGAAAGGTTTATCTTTGGTGTTTTAACATCTTAACACGGCTTTTATTACTCTTTGGTTTTTTCGGTAAAGTCACGTAGGTACAAAATAAATTAAAATAAATTAAATCACAACGTTTCGGAGGCAACACAAGCTTCCGTCTTCAAGCTTGTGTTGCCTCCGAAACGTCGTGATTTAATTTATTTCAATTTTATTTTTTACCTACGTGACTTTTGTAGTCACGAAAATTTCAAATCTGGAACGACTTTTATTGCCAGAAAATGGTCAAACCTATTCTTGCGTGAAGTACGTTGGTTATTTACGCTGGTCCATCGCGAGAGCACCGCCTTTCACAGACAGTCGGCAGTAGCTTTGCAGTGCCGGTAGGGGGCGATGTTGCTGAGCGGGATCACAATTGAGTGATTTTTTTGTATTTTTTGGCGGTGATCTTTTGGTTTGTTTGTTCAAATTTGGCTAATTTCGAGCCCCTGACGCCGGCACGCGATCGCCTGCTCGTGTTGAGTGCCGCCAAGTAGGCGGAGAATGTAAAACGTTTGTAGGCGAATAGACCGGCAGTATTAATCGGGGCGGCCCGTCGGATTCCGAGCAGCGAACCTCTTTGCTTTGGCTTGCGTTGTGACTAAAATGTCAATAAAAACAACAATAAGATCCTTGAAACTGTCAAAAGGAACTAAGCTTCAAGATTAGCAAGCAATAGCGACAGTTCTAGAGGCGGCTGCTTCATAGCACCCGGTAATAACGGAACTTAAAAGGCTCCGTGATAGCTCAGGTCGAGCTCTGTGTTTGTTACTCGTTGGTAGTGAACTGGCGAGCGAGTCAGCCTGGTTTGTATCGCCTTACGTGTAAGAAGGCCGATTGTATTTTTTTTTAAAACAAACCGTATATCCCTGTGAAGTATAGCCAGTTTGAATTCATTGTAAGGATGATATATATTTTTACATTGTCTTTATTACAATTTTATGGAGTTTTGTTCCGTACCAAAGCTGCTTTAAAACCCTTTAAATAAAATGTATTTTCTGATGCGGGTATCGTAAATGTGTTCGTGTTTTTTCTGCGTGCATGCACGTACGTTTGTAATAATTCCCGAGTCAGGAATCGAACCCAGGTCCCGATTTTTGCGTGGCGCAAGTGCAGAGAGAGAGAGAACGACTGGGTGGGCAAGGAGGGACTGCAGACAAGCGAGGAAAGCAGCAGCAGCAGTAGCCAGACGGCATTAGCAGCAATTGCCCAAGCCCTGCAGTCCTATACATATGTGTTGGTTTTGGCCAGTTAACTAATTTAAACTAGACTATGTTTTATTTTACCAGGTAAGGCTCGCTGACCTAGTTTTCATAAGAACCTGGCCACAAAGGGCCGTACCATAAATGACGTCACGCACCTAGGGAGGGGGTGGTCAGTAATTTGTGACGATGTGTGACGAGGGTGGGGGGGCTGAGAAATGTGACGTCATATCAAAATGCGCAACTTTAAATAAATATAGACAACACGTTCTACTTCATTAAATAGACTTTGTAATAAATGTTTTCTCCTACAACATCAGAGTGCAGCGCCACCTTAAATACGCACTACAATAACAATAGTTTGAAGCGATTTCAAGCATGTTTTATTTGGGGGGGGCAACGCTTTGTGACGTCATATTTGAGGGGAGTGTCTGACTTTTTGTGACGCCGTGTGACGAAAGGGGGGGGGGGATCAAAAATCGTCCAAAATCGCGTGACGTTATTTATGGACGGCCCCTAAATGATAGCTCAACAAAGTGGCTGATCACGCGAAATGTAGAGCAGCCAAGTCCTGTGAACGCACGTTGTTGTTTCTAAGCGGGGAGCGGGGAAATCGAAGGACTCGGAAGAAAAATCAGGCACCATTGCCGATGCATGTAATCGTTTCGTTCATGCACATTCAAAGTGTTGTTGGCAATGTGGGTCTTCCTTTCCTTTCACTGAACCAACATCTGCACACAGCGTTCATTCTCACACTGCATGGATCGCGAAGCACCACGGAGAGACACGCAAACTCCAAATATCCAGCAGCAGGCGTCAGGGTTGGGATCGAACCCACGACCTCCTGTATACCAGGCGAGGGAGTTAACATCTCCTAGCCACCGTGATGATGATGAAAGAGAGAGACGCAGACTCCAAATATACAGCAGCAGCAGGCGTCAGGGTCGGGTTCGAACCCACGGCCTCCTGTACACCAGGCGAGGGAGTTAACATCTCCTAGCCACCGTGATGATGATGATGAGAGAGACACGCAAACTACAAATATACAGCAGCAGGCGTCAGGGTCGGGATCGAACCCACGACCTCTTGTACACCAGGCGAGGGAGTTAACATCTCCTAGCCACCGTGATGATGATGATGAGAGAGACACGCAAACTACAAATATACAGCAGCAGGCGTCAGGGTCGGGATCGAACCCACGACCTCCTGTACACCAGGCGAGGAAGTTAACATCTCACCACCTGAAGCCCTCTTCGTTGTGGCCAGCAGCAGACCTCGACATTGGTATCGAGCTCCTTGAACCGCATGTGCCGCCATGCTCAAGGATGTGAGGGCTTCAGGGTGCTGCTGTACGTCACGGGAGCCACGAGAGGGGGGCCCTCCCCACGACGTATCCACTCGCTCCCTTGCCAGGCAAGGCTGCGTCTCCGGGAACGACGCTGCTCGCATTTGTACTGCAGAGATAAAGATTCATCCCCTATAGAGTACAGCCTTAACAGACTGTTGGGGCAAGTGCTGTTAGCGAGTAGCACCATTGAAGGCCGGCACGGCACACGAAGGGGTGGGTGGCCAGCACCACGCCCGAACGCCTTTGTCTCCCTCGTGGCGATGTTTACACACCGCACTAAGTACACATTAGGGGCTGTCGTCAATAAATGACGTCACGCACCTGGGGGGGGGGGGGGTCAGACATTTGTGACGGTGTGTGACGAGGGGGGGGGGGGTTTGAGAAATGTGACGTCACATCAAAATGCGCAACTTTAAATAAACACTAGCTGTACTACCCGGCTTCGCCCGGGACTTGTATCCACCACGGCCGGCCGCCTTTGTCTCCCTCACCGCTCTCCCTCCCTCACCACTCTCCCTCCCTCACCACTCTCCCTCCCTCACCACTCTCCCTCCCTCACCACTCACGCACGGCCGCCTTTGTCTCCCCAGTGGCGATGTTAATACGCCACACCAGTTACTCGTTTGAGGCTGAGTCGACCTAGGGGAGGTTCAAATAATCGTCACCGGTGGTGGCCGTGAGCGGGAATGGAACTCGGTTCGCCGGGTTTATAGCGCAGCGTAGCGTTAAGCACTACACCCACCGCTCCTC